CAGACAGATAAACAGACAGATAAAGAGCTTTCTGATGATTTGATGAGTTTCTGGATTTCAAATAGCGGCTTTTTCACAAAAATACCATGTGGACATATTGGCAGAAATAGTTTCTTGACAGACCTGATGTTCTCTCATTTTAAAATTCAGTTTTGCAATTTGTTGCCAGTCTGGAGATGTGGTATGACTGACATCTTTAATTTGAGTTGAACAGATTAATAATGCATGTTGTATTACTCCTTTTTCCATGTACCTCCTGTAGTATCTGCCCATGCAGATAGTTTTGGTTTTATTTGTGCAGATCTTGAAATATCTGCCCCTCAGATTTATCTGCCATCATTTCAACACAATGAACATGAATTTGAGCTGCTTAAAGCATCAAACATTACATTTTCAAAATCTTGAGAACAGCATCTCTCTCAGTGTCTCCATTACTCAGAATAATCCACTTACTCACTCACTGTCAGCAGTAAACAAACCCTCTAAAGTTAAACAATTTGTATATTGTGTACTTGCAAATTCAATTTATTTTCAAGAACATCTACTGGCTCAACTGTCTTGTTGGAGATGTGTCTGTTTCTCAACCACAGGAGCTCATTGAACTTCCTGTCTGTTAGTAATGGGTTTTACTGGTGCTTTGGTAATTTTAGTGGTATGTTGTGGTTGTACCTCCAGGCAACTGGTTGGTTATTATTATTTCTCTGCATGCTGCCTATTTTAGGTTTTCACTGGATAAGTTAACTAACTTTCTTTCTTCCTGCATTTCTGTTGTTGTTCTTCTCTTTCGGTTCTTTCTTTTACTCCAGCCATGTGTTAATACCTGAATCTAGTCTGTGGAAATCTTCTCTCGACTGCCTACATTTATGATACCAGAAAAACATCTGCTGATTTTAAGCCGTTAACGCTTCATTTCCTTGTTTGTTGGCTGCAGTGACATTTGCTGTCAGCACCAGTAACATAGGAGTGTTGCTAGTAGTTACTGGCAGTCCCACTTGCTGCCATTGTGGCTGATTGTACATTAGTAGATGTTGTGGAAGTCCTCCATCTGCTTCCATTGGTGGTAGACATTTTAAAACGGGATATTATTATAAAGCAGTCCGCTGGTTGAGGTACGCGTTCCGCTCACTACCAATCAAACTAACTACCATTAATACAGTTTCACTGACGCTGAAGGCAGTGAAACAAAGTACAGTTCTCTTCTTTGCGGCTATGAAACACAACTTGTAGGCAGAGCTATGGCTTTAGATGGATCAGGAGGATTTCAGAGAGATTAATCAAAATGAATTGAATTGAGGCTTTTGGTATTGAAGTTTATTGTGGGAACTGCTGATAACAGCACAGCCAAGTAAGTGTGTTTTCTGCAGATGAAAAGATTTTAAGGCGTTTTAGATGAACTAAATATTGTTTAGATTATATATGTCCTTTTTACAGTGACATTTTAATGACGTTATTTCAACATGTAGTAGGTTTTATGGATGGTTTTATGGATGGTTTTATGGATTTCTTGCGGCCATATGTCATAGTTATTGCGCAAATATACAAGTGAGATGCCAAAGTGTAACCTGGATTAGTTTAGATTTTACACGTCTTAGTCATTTATCAGATGCTGCTGTCCAGAGCACCTACACAACTTTGTTACAATCATTAATTGATTACAATTGTCAATTATTAATAATTCTACAGTGGTAACCACAATAGATGTACTTTTTCCTTTAATGTGGTAAACAAGACAACCCACATTAGTATTTTTAACACAAAGCCATCTCAGCCAACTTGTCACAGATTCTTTTAATGTGCAAATTCATAAAAACAAGCACAACCTCACTTATTTGAGTAACGTCAGTAGATTAAGTGTAAAGATTTTCCGTTTAATATACTAACCAGCCACTAATCCAGCTGATAACTCACCCTGAGTCAGTGTAAATGGCAGTATGGCTGCTGGTGGTTGTATTATCAGGATGTTAAGTTGGCCTGTTGGACATCTGCAGAGTTTGGGACAGATTTGAATTGATTCAAGTTCTTTGTTTTCTCACAAATGAAACTGTTTATTCACCGATTCCCCCTGATTTTCTTTTTTCTCCCTGCAGCGGTCAAACAGCTGAAGGAGACTGTGAGCTCTTCAATCCACAAACTGACCAACTTTGATGGTAAGAACTCAAATAAGCGTCAAGTAAAAAGTACTTCTTTCTGTTGTTTGAATCCCGGAACAGTTCAGTCTGTGAACAAGCACTACATATCAGACAGAAAACAAACTCTGAATCTGGTGAGACTGATGTGAAATCAGTTTGTACATAAACAGTCATTGTGCGGCTGACTTTGTGAAGCTTTTAGGTCTAAATGTGTTAATTAAATTGAACTGTATTCTATCAGCACTAAGAAGTATGAACGGAAAATTAAGCCCATATATTTATATGTATGTGCTTTGTAGAAGTGATGGACGCCCACCTACAGAACAACCAGACGGCAGAAGACGACATCCTGGCCAGCCCTGATCGACTCAAAGGTAGAGAACACACGCTTACAGACTCGAGCTGCATTTATACTTCACACAGGTGGTCAACAGGAGTCCGACAGGTATTGCTTTATAGTTATGCAGCATATTTTTACTGTTGATGTCACCAAATAAATACTAAACTAAACTGGGCATGTAACCCCTTAATACAAAAATATAAATCCAGATTAACATGCTCTATGTCCCAGCTGCTAAATGTATAATTACAATGGATTAGATTTTTTGAGTATGTGGTCGAATTATTAAATATTAAAGAATCGTTTTCAACAGTTAACTGTGAATTTGTACACAAAGGTAAGAACTGCTGACAAGGACACATAGTGACCTCTGACCTTTGACTGACTGACTGTCACCCTTCTCTGTGGACGCACACAATACTCAACAATACAGCAGCCATGTGTGGAGGCTTCGACACAGTGCTGAAATACATTTTCTCTGGACCAGCGCGCACATTTTTATATTTCTATACTAACTCTAAGACCCTAACTGGCGTCTTTTAAATAGTTCATAATGTATTTTTCATTGGAAGAGTGTTATAGTGAATTTTTCTTATTCTAAATCTAATTTTAACCTCAACCCTACAACCAAGACTAAACCAAACAGAAATGAGGACAAAATGTTCTCACACCCAATGTGTAAATATGTTATTTGTATCCAAAAATATTTATAGGAACACACACACACACACACACAGTTGCTTTTGTTGTTTCTGTTTCCCTGCTGTGCCTCACATTTTATAATCCAGTCAGTGCACTACACAGTGTGTGCTCATGTAGTACACGCAGGGACCAATTTATTAATTTTTCTGTGTCTTTCTATTTTGGTATTATATATTTTCTTTTCTCCTTTATTTTTTGTGCTGGTTTATTATTGCTTTTTATTGTTTTCACACCCATTCATCCCTGCCTGGCTAAACTTTTTGTGTGTGTGTCTGTGTCCCCACCCACAGGAAATCAGATGGATGCCAAAGAGTCAGACATGTCAGACACTCTGAGTCCCAGCAAAGACCGCAGCAGTGACGATACGTCAGGTCAGTAAAATTCACACACTGAGTTGTGTTTTAACCAGCTGTTTTTATGTTGACGTATTTAAGTCTCATTTATGGCTCTGACCCTCCCTCTGTTTTTTTTTATTTATCTTCATCTTTTTCAGTTTAACTGAACTGTTTACTTTAAATATATTTTCTTTTAATCATGTTAAAGTCTGCTTTCTCATCAGCCGGCATCTGTTATATGAAGAGCATCTAGTCTATAATGAATTCATGATATTATAAGTTCTAATTCACTTACTTGGAACTAAATCACTTACTGAGAACTAAATAACATATTTAGACTTATTTTCTAATATTTAGTCATTAATTCAGAGAAGTACAAAGCATTTTTAAGCTGTTTATAAATGTATAAATGTATTAGAACCAAATCAGAAAGAAATAATGTGTGTGTGCGCATTTCAGATGGCAACATGGACGACCAGGAGCTGAATGAACCGCAGAACAGAGTAGCTCTGCTCAAAGGTAACCATGGCAACTCATCTCTGCTTTGTAGTTTTCCTCTGTGTGGCACTAACAGACCACAAACATTCACCAAGGTTATGAGCATCAGTAATACAGTTAACTGTCCATTAAGGGGAGCTGTTCTGTTGTGTTGGTGGCTGCACGTCCTTTTAAAAGGATTTATTCTTTGAGTCTGTTTTGCACTTTATTAATTTGTTACATTACATGTGTTAAATTACTGTGTTTGTCTGTGTGAGTGTAGCTGAGTTGCATCGGGCCGGTCTAGAGCCTGGAGACACGGAGCAGGTCATCCACCATCTCCACAGAGAGCTTCTGGAGGCCCAGGAATTAGCCAACACTGGCAAGCAGAGATGTCTGGAGCTACAAGGTACTAACAGTATACAACTTAAGTTAACACCCAGATATTATGAGAACTATGACTAGATCTGGTTAGTATCCACAAATACTTACATTTCTTCCAGTTTCTGACTTAATGTTTTGGAAATCAAATGTGAACAAATGTGTTAAATTTTGTCTGTGTCTGTCTGTAGCTCTGCTGGAGGACGAGAGGAGGAACAACTCTCAGCAGACTGAAGAGTCGACCAAACAGATCCAGTACCTGCAGAGTTAGTACACACACACACACACACACACACACAGATTGAGACATATGGGTGTATAGTATCTTACTATTCTGTGTGTGTTTAGCTCAACTCGGGAAGCTGCAGGCCGACATGGAAGCACTTAGGGAACAGAGGGAGAGCACCATCTGCACCACCAGAGAGGAGCTCTACTTTTTTCAGGTTATTGAGGTACAGCTCCTTTACCCTGACTCTAAGCTGATTCCTCACAGTTTCTTTTTATTTTCCTAAGTCTCGCTCCTTGTGACTCCATCTGACTCTCTTCTTACTTTTCCCAACTCCCTTCTTCAGAATGAGACTTCCTGTCTGTCAATTTACCGTAAATGCAGTCACTTGACATCACTGACCGACCTATCGATTGTATTTCTGCTGTCAGATTCTCGTCCTGCGGCACGCCATGGAGGCAGCCACGGCAGAGCGGGAGCGGGAGATCGCCGCCCTGCAGTCCGACCTGGGTAGCGTGCGATCTGAGCTGGAGCACTGGAGGAACACGGCCGCCAAGTACGAGGAGGAGATCAGTCGGCTGCAGGAGGCCTTCACACAGCAGCAACAGCAGCAGAACACCACCACCCAGCTGCAGGGTGAGCAGGGAGGGAGAGAGAGTGTGTGTGTGGGTGTGTGTGTGGGTGTGGGTGTGGGGGTGTGTGTGTGTTTGCCGTTTCACTGCAGGACCTTGGCCAATGAAAGTCTATCTTTCTTTTTTATGAATCAAGATAAACAATATTTCATTAAACAGCTGATTTCCATAGACATGAATTCTAACTACACTTCTCTCTCTCTCTTGTCTCTCTCTCAGCGGAGTGTGTTACGTTGCAGCAGCGGTGTGTGTGTTTGCAGCAGGACTGTGACGGCCTGAGAGCTGAACGGACAGCTCTTACGGACAAACTGCACCGCCTGGAGACTGAGCTGAGCAGGTATACACACATGTTAAATGCTCTATTTGAATCCACATCGTAAACAGGATTATCTGTTGACAGTTGTAGGTGTTACAGCTAAAATGGATCAGAATTCTACCTTTTGTTTTGCCTTGTTTTTGGTCAACCTGCCAATCATAACTGACTTATCAGTCACATATCGGCATCACTTACTTACATTCATATCCTAGCTAGTTATATTCGCACTGATACTTGATAAGTTTATCAGATAAATCTTTTGTACATGTACAGTCGAAAATACAAACCATTAATCTACAAAAACACCATCAGTGTTACAGTTTGAGATGTTAACAGAAAAGATCTGTTTGGTGAGGTATTAAACCACAGGAATGTTGGTACCACCTCTCTGACACACACATACAATCTTTAAAAGTCTTAATAAGAAAAGATAAAATAAATTGTCCCCTAAAATTTTACTTTTTTTGTCGGGAGGTTGCATTTTCTGAAAACATAAATGTGTGGTCACACAGTCAAACATAAATCATATAAAGTATTAGTTTGATTTTAAGCAAGGCATGCCTTTAAAATAATTGTAAAATTTAAACACAACTTGCACCCAAACACTCAACCTCTACGTACAAGCATGTACATACTAATAAGTGGACGGACAGAATTAAAAATATCTGAAAATTGCTTTAAAATGTTCTTTTTTTTTGTTCTATTAATGATAAACAAATTAAAACTATTGAAAAGTCCCTAAACTCTAAAGTAAGTGTAAAGCTGAGCGTCAACCGGGAACATGAATGCGTGTCAAACTGTGCGAGGGTGGACATTTAAACTGGACCTAAAAGTCTTTGTGACACCCGTGATCGAGTTAATGCATTCTGGCTCAGGACGATTGACAGGAGCGCAGCCAAGTCCACGGGTCCGGACAGGTTCAGAGTTTGGATTCAGCATTTTAAAAAAAGGATGGAGGATGAGAAGGACAGGAGGAAACATGGTGTCCAGCTGATTCAGGCAGGACAGGACAAGTGGACGACAGCTGACTGACGGCTGACTGAACCTGACCGAGCAGTCAGCACATTCAGCTCTGTCTGTTCTCCATGGAGATAAAACATCACCGCATGTTCTCATCGGAGCTGAGAGCTCAGCAGGATTTTATCTGAGCTTCAGCTGTGTTTTCACTAGTTTCCAATAAACTGAAGGTGCCACTGGCAGCACTTATTACGAATACCTGTAATGCACCACTCCAATAAAACTGCAGATGTCAGCTGCAGCTCGTTGTCCCATCCCTGTCAAGATGCTGTACAGCCTAAAACTACTTCCTAAACATCTTTAAATGATCTATTAGAGATGAAGCCAAGTTCAACAATGTCTAAGTTTAGTTCAAATATTTACATTCAGCAGCTGAAAACAAAGTTTAAAAGAGAGGAGAGGAGGTGACATTTTCAGTAAAATGTGTCCCAACTGTTCTCCAGTGCAAACATATTGCAGTCTTATTGATTCAGGTACTAAATGCAAATGATCTTAAATACACATAAGCTTTTATTGTGAAGGGGCCTCACCTAAAATAGAGACCACCTGTATTTTATGAAATGTATCATTAACATTCTGGGTAAAAAAACAGAGGTTAATTATTGCACAGCAAAGATAACCTGACTGCGCCAGATGGTTTGTTACACAGAACCATCTGGGAAGTCGACATTGGAAACTGCATGCGCTCCATGTAAAAACAAAAAACATATGGTACAATTCAAAGGTTTCAGTCCACCTGTTTAAAACCAGGTTTTTCTAAATGTTAACACAAGTATAAAACTTTAATATACCATACGTGCGCTTCCATAAGGAGATAATAATATTTGAGTTGCGTCAGAAGGAATTTCCCTGTGAGCTCAGTCACGGAGGGGCAGCCTCCTCCGGTCCAGCAAAATGTCCCATCAAATTAAAATCTTGGCTGTCAATAGATTTCATTATCCATTTTACACAGAACTTCCCAGATGAGGTCAGCGAGAATGAACAGATGGAGTTCGAGCAGGAAAAATAATAAACACTCTGATCTTAATAACCTGAAGGCCTCTCTGTGTCTTCATATAAATGCCGATCCCCTGTGTTTGGTCATTATTGTGGTCCAAAATGAGAGACAGAAAAATGATAATTTTTTTTAGTTGTGTGCTATTTTGTAGGAAATTGTAAAAGTATGTAAGTACTTAAAGTATTCACCGATAATCATGGTATGTGCTAAGTTCCAGTGAGAGTAAAAACCAAATATCGGTGTACCAGTAGCTTGTGCCTTAACCTATTGTAATGCAAATGAATATACACATAAAGAAGTTCCATACACAAAATGGTCAGTCGAAGCTTTAAAAATGTTCAGTTGTCAGAGCCATACATAACCATAGTTCTGAGGAAACATGGTTGTATCCACTTTTCCAATAATGAGTTGTGTTGGAGGTAATTCGGTTTGACCATTTTTGCAGAAAAATCTAACATTCTGGTAAAATGTGGGAATGTAGATCCACAGCATTGTGAATTCTCTCGAGCTGAGTGTATTCCTGTGGTCATTGACTGGACGTGTTTGTGGTGTGTGTGTTTGTGTGTTTGTATGTGTGTCTGTGTGTGCAGCACCAGGGAGCAGAGTCAGGTCCTCAGCAGCAGTCTGGTGTCTCTGGAGAAGAGGGAGGAGGTCCTACAGGACAAACTGGGTTCTCTGGAGAATCAGCATCTGCAGGACGCAAGCAGGCTGAAGACTCAGCTAGACCAGGCCCAGGCCCACACACACACACTGCAGCTGGAGGTACACACACACACACACACACACACACACACATTGATATGATGATATTGTATGTAGTTGTCTGCTACGTCAATTACGTAATTTACACATGCCTGAAGTTGAAGCTAAGAAGTTGAACTCCACCTGGTACCTTGTGTCTCTAGTCGCTCTGAGAGGATTCCTGTAGTGGCCAATACACATGATTCAGTTACTTATACACGGTTACAAACCCAACACCTGACAATTTCTAGTAATAAGGGTGTGTGTGTACGTGTGTGTACG